CATTTTCCTTGCATGTGATTGTGTATTCTTTATAAAGTGAAGCTTTGCCTCATTTACTAAGCTCTGGAGCAACTGCACTTGCAAAGTGCACAGTCTGTTTGCCTTTAGTAAATCAACCCCTATGAGTGCACTCACATTGGGAGCTTTTTAACTGAACCATGCCCAAGATGGATTGTCCATTCATCCCACTCCTTCACTAATTTGCACTCACACTGGACTATAAGGAACTGTTCTCGGGCACACGTACTGCCCACAGTGATCTCTGCTTCAGTATATAGACTTCTATGGAGACTTCTGTGTTTCATACAGATGATGGGCTGAACACCCCCTGTTTAGAGGCTGAACATTCAAACCTAACAAAAGTCCAACTGCGAACTTCGAACAGAGGGGACAATTCACTAAGCGGCATCTTACCACATCTGAGTATTCGGTAAGATGCTGCACAGCTACTAAAACATTATTTAATGTTTCAGCTGTCAGTGGGATTTCCCATTGACAGCTGAATGTAAAAAGAATTGCTGGCATTGCCCGGCAATTAAACATTTTTTTAAAAAGATGCTTGGAGTCCTCCCCATCCATACCAAGCCCCTTGGGTCTGGTATGGATTTTGAGGGGACCCCCACGCCCAATTTTTTGGGGGTCTCCTCAAAATCCATACCAGACCTTTATCCGAGCATGCAGCCCAGCAGGTTAGGAAAGGTGGGGGACAAGCGAGCTCCACATGCCCTCAACAATGGGGGGGTGCTTTGGGGCAGGGAACCCCCCAAAAGCACCTTGTCCCCTTGATGGGGACAAGGGCCTCTTCCCCACAACCATGATCGGTGGTTGTGGGGATATGTGGGTGGGGGGGGGGGTATTGGAATCTGGAAATCCCCTTTAACAAGGCAGCCATCAGATTCCACACCCCCCTCCATGTGAATGAGTATGGGGTACATGGTACAGCTACTCATTCACAAAAAAAAAAGTGTAGTGTAAAAAAATGACAGTAGGCAGTCTTTGAAAAGTTCTTTATTGTGGTCAGGTGCATTGCTTTTGCCAATAACAATGCACTGTCAGGGCGCAGTGCACTGTGGGGCACAGCGGGCAAACAGCTCACTGATCACCCTTAGCATTTGTGTGTTTGCTGGACACTCCAACGCCCGCTGTTCAAGTCAAACCTGTGTTTGACTCGAACATCTAGCCCAACGCTATTTCACACTGAAGCCAACCAGACCACAAGTGAACAGCGGGTAGAATGCAATAGCACCACAGTGGAGATCCCTGCATCCATATCATTTGTGAGACTGCAGGAATCTATCAGTTTTTTCTATTCAACCAGCTCGTTGAAAAAAAAACAAACTCCACGTGTATACCCTGCTCAAAATGGAACTTTAGTCAAAAAATTAAATCCTGTTAGATCACTTCATGCTGGCCCCTTTTGCAGGCATAGCTATGTAAAAAATTAAAAACAAGCATGTATACTGTTTAAAATCTAGTAATATACTGTCTACCCTGCTCTGCACATGCTCAGTTGCTCTCTATTTTAAGGCACTGTGCTGAATTTCTTTGAGGCTGATCTGTTGACAGCCTAAAGATTTAATGCTGCTCAGGGCTACAACAAAGTGGCAACCTGTGGCAAAAAGAAACAGGAATAATAATGGAGGCAACACACTAATTTTGATTGCATAATTATTCATGTGGAATGTATATTCCTTGCTAATTAACATTTTTTAACAGAATATTTTTATCAAGTTGCTATGGGTAAAGTTCCACTTTAAGCAAATAGTTTCTTAGGCATGTTTGCAATTATGTTGCAAGTAAGGCAAAAGGTACACCTTATACTTTGATGGCTGTTGTGCTGTTATTGCCTTTTTCACATACACTATATTGCCAAAAGTACTGGGACACCCCTCCAAATCATTGAATTCAGGTGTTCCAATCACATCCATGGCCACAGGTCTATAAAATCAAGCACCTAGGAATGCAGACTGCTTCAACAAAAATTTGTGAAAGAATGGGTCGCTCTCAGAAGCTCAGTAATTTCAAGCGTGGTACTGTGATAGGTTGCCACCTGTGCTATAAATTCATCCATGAAATTTCCTTGCTACTAAATATTCCACGGTCAACTGCTAGTGGTATTATAAGAAAAAGGAAGCAACTGGGAACAGCAACTCAGTCACGAAGTGGTAGGCCACATAAAATGACAGAGAGGGGTCTGCACATGTTGAAGCGCACAGTACGCAGAAGTCGCCAACTGTGTGCAGAGTCAATAGCTAAAGACCTCTAAACTTCATGTGGCCTTCAGATTAGCACAGCAATTGTGCATAGTGGGCTTCATGCAATGGGTTTCAGCTGCAAGCCTTACATCACAAAGTGCAATGCAAAGCATCAGATGCACTGGACTCTAGAGCAGTGGAGACGTGTTCTCTGTAGTGACGAATCACGCTTTTCTGTCTGGCATTCCGATGAATGTGTCTGGGTTTGCGGTTGCCAGGAGAACGGTACTTACCTGACTCCATTGTGCCAAGTGTAAAGTTTGGTGAAGGAGGGATTATGGCATGGGGTTGTTTTTCAGGGGTTGGGCTTGGCCCCTTAGTTCCAGTGAAGGGAACTCTTAAGGCGTCAGCATACCAAGACATTTTGAATAATTTCATGCTTCCAACTTTGTGGGAACAGTTTGGGGATGGCCCCTTCCTGTTCCAACATGACTGCGCACCAGTTCAGAAAGCAAGGTCCATCAAGACATGGATGAGTGAGTTTGGGGTGGAGGAACTTGACTGGCCTGCACAGAGTTCGGATCTTAACCCGATACAACACCTTTGGGATGAATTAGAGTGGAGACTGCGAGCCAGGCATTCTCATGTGACATCAGTGCCTGACCTCACGAATGCGCTTCTGGAAGAATGGTCAAACATTCCCATAGACACACTCCTAAACCTTGTGGACAACCTTCCCAGAAGAGTTGAAGCTGTTATAGGTGCAAAGAGTGAGCCAACTCAATACTGAACCCTACAGAGTAAGATTGGGATGCCATTAAAGTTAATGTGTGTGTAAAGTCAGGCGTCCCAATACTTTTGGCAATATAGTGTGACACTTTGCAAATAAATCTTTCATTTATGACCAACTTAATCTTCCCCTAACATTTCTGACAAAAGGATCCAATAAACAGATAGCAATCCAGACAAATTCTGCATTCTAATTTTTTTTACTGTTTTAAAATTAACAATATTTATTAGAATATCACATTTTACAGTAATAGAAACCTTCAGATAATCAGTACAGATTATACCAGTTTGAAGAACCTCATACAGAAAAGTAGGTGCATCAAATATGCCCAATTATTATTAGGTAGCCTCCAATATATATCATGTAGTGGTGAATAGCACTGAGTCTATCTATAGGGCCAAGGTAAAATGTTCGCTCTTACGAAATGTAGAGTAAAACACTGCATTCTAATGTTAATGTACACTGATGCATTGCATGTAGTTTTTATTAGCAACAAACTGATTCAAATCTCAGTAACAAACACAGCTGAATACTGATGAAAGCATTTTGACATTTTTAAATAATTTTTTTTTCCTTTTTGGGAAACTTACAAACATCCACTTTGGGAGAAAAAGAGTTTCCCAATGGGTTTGATCTGTCAAAAAAAATAATGATATCTTTAAGCCCATGACTAATATATTCAACTTCTTGCACTAATTTATCTGTGGCCGAAGCTCCGCGGAAGGAGTCAATGGATTTTAGAAAGTCAAAAAGAAAAATAGATGTTATTATACTTCTTGCTTGGCTACTAATTGTTCTAATTTAATATACAGTTTACATTGCAGGCAGATTAAGTTGGTATCAAAGTACTATGTATGCCTACGGAGATATGTATTTGAGTTATTCGTGTATGTCTCCTTATTATACATGGTAATAAACACAATTGTAAAATGTAATAGATATCTTGAGATTAGATTTACTGAAGGACATATTGTAAATGACTGAATACACAGCTTTGCTTAAAGGGTAACTCCACTTTCATGGGAAAAACAATTAGCAAATAAAAAAAAATATTACTGTGTATGCAATTGCAACTGCAACTCAATTGCAACTCAACTCATATTGTAATTGGATGTATCTTTCCTTTTCCATCAGCAGTGCTATCATTTTCTGAAAAATACAATGCAATATGTCTAACTGGAAGTGTTCTGTACAAAGGTATACATCCTGCTTGAGTGATTGGCTTACTGATTTTTCCCAGAAGTCTACACTAAGATACAAGTCAGATTTTTGGGATCCAATGCAACAAAAATGCTATTTTTGGTGAGATATTCCCAATGTGAAATTTAGAGCCCTGCAGGTGCAGCAGTTCAGTGATAATTATAAAACCCTTCCCATACAGATTCACAGATGTACATGGTCACAGACAAACATACATCTATTTCTTCAGAATAACAAAAGGTAGGACTCTGCAACAAAGTTTGTTAAAATCCTTGCAATGTACATAGATTACCCAGAGGGGATTGTTTTTTCTCAACAAAAGTGGAGTTACTCTTTAAAGAGTATGTATGTACAATTTATGTTGCATGCAACAAGAAATGAGAGGAAATCTCTATAAAATGACAAGAATTTCCACCATAAAGAGTGTCCATAAGAACAAATGTCATCATTGGAAGATTTACCCTCAACTCTTCTGGCTCAGCTGTAAGATTTTGAATTTCACGTACTGTTTCATGACAATGGTCATTTGAACAAATGGAGAGGTGAATATACCCAATATGGACACAAAGAACAATAAAAAAACAGAAAGAAGGTGTAACCCTTTTCCAGTCTATCCAAAATAAAAGAAAAAAAATGCCTTTACAGACATTTTAAAGGACAGGTGTATCTTATAACTTTTGCTAAATTCACCCTGAACTGTGCTCACCCCTTTATCTATAAACTTCAATAGGGCCATATGATGAGGATTTTCAACTGCAGTGTATGGCTCTGTGTGCAGTGCAGTTGCATCCATCATTGAAGAGATTTTCAGTAACAGGCAGGGGCGGACTGACAGCTCATGGCCCCCCGGGCAATAGGGGATCATGGGGCCCCTGTGTCCTTGCCCAAACTCAAAAAAGCATATGAAAAAGGTATCAGGGGCATCTCATGGGGCCCCCTACTGACCCCGGGGCCTCGGGCAGTGCCCGAGTTTCCAAATGGTCAGTCCGCCCCTGGTAACAGGATGTATACACCTATGAATTATTTGGCTCTGGAACTAGGGTTATTAAGGAGCTGAACTAATAGGGGTAGCTCAATTTAACTTAGGGTGGGTGAGAGGGTGGATACAGCAAGAGCAGTAAGTAATGCATGTCTACTTTAATAGAATCTCACAAATTTGAAAACTGTGACTCTATAAAACTCAGAAGGCACTTAAAGCTTATTTCACCCTCAACAATGTCATTCATAAAGGTGGTATTTGAAGCTACTAGATGGAGCTGATGATCATAGGAAATGTACGTTTTAGCCACATTACAGGGATTATTTTGAGGTCAGTTACAAAAAAAAAAAAAAAAAAGCTATGCAAATGGAAACGCTGCAGAAAAGTAGACTTCAATCATTTTTTTTTTTGCTGCATTTTTTATGCATGGTATATCTGCCTAGCAACAAGAAAAAGAAAAAAAAAAGAAAAAAAAAAATGCAAAACGCATCAAAAACGGAACAAAAAAGCAAGTGCAAAATGCAATGCAATGCAGAAACGGCTCAAACGCAACCTGCATAGGTGTGAACCTAGCCTTAGTGGTCATTTTAACATGTTACACCCTGATGAAAATTGTTTTACATACTAGGGATTATTACTTACAGGAGAAACTGTAAAAATGACTTCTATTTAGAAGTTTGCCTTTATAGAGTTAAGGGACGTCATGATAAAACTAGAAAAGCTACAATTTCTGGGGAAATTGTGTGCAGTGTTCTTGCCTCCACCAGTAATCTACAACTGGAGTGGTCGCAGTTTAGAAATTGCCCTTCAAATTTGAGGTGGCTAGAGTGCAGTTTCAATGAATGTCAATGGGCGGCGTGACTTGCAAACAAATGGTCATATTGTGAAAACTATCAGAACTATGGCTTAGCAGTGGACATTTTTAGTGGCAGCAGGGATGGCTGAACGTTTTGATATAAGATTTGTGTAGGTGGTCTTGAAAATGAGGGAGTGATGGCAGTTTAGAAATCATGTTCTGATTTTTCAGCTCACACTCTAGCTTTTGTCAGCTCCTACTCTAGTTTTGAACATTCTGCCATTCATTCCTATGGGACCAATTTCACCACAAAAACGCCGATATTTTGTGAACCATTCGGCGGAAAGTTCGACAAAGTAATAGCACATCAATTGGGACAATCCGCACGTTTCGGTATATTACTGTCTATGTAGTGTAAAAACTGTGGGAGGAGTTAGTCTGGTAAATTTGGCTATAATAATAAGAATATATATGTGAGATAACAGTAAGTGGTCTTGCCATGCAAGAACACTTAATTATACTACATTTGCATACAAGCAGGTAGAAAAAAAAACATAATGCAGCTATACAATCAGTACACACATTTTTAGGATGCAAATAATGTAAGTACCTGTAGGTGTGTTGACCCTGGCTTTTTGTAATCAGCTGTATAGAAGAATTCAGTCTGAGAAAGGGAAGGGCAGCGCTGGCAGCCAATCAGGCTCTTCTGAATGCACATGTGCTCACAAAGAACATGCTGAGAAACAGGATACTTTCATCAATCTTCTGTTTTTTTTCTTGTCTAATCACAGGCTGGAAAAAGGAAAGTATCCAAATTCCCTGTTACACCTCTCCACCTCTCTTTCTACTATAGAGGATGATTAACAGAAATCCACCTCCTATGATTCAAACTCAGTGTTTTGCTGAACCAAGAACCAATCTCCTCCCAGTATCCCATGACTGTCACATCCTTGATCCTTCCTTCTCTATATCAGAAAGAGCAGTTCACCTGATTTTAGAAAACAATTTTATGGTACCTTTATTTTTTTAAGAAAGATTTTAAGGCATATACCTGGTATATATGTGAATACAATTGTGCTTCATTACAATATGTGCTACATCAAAATAAATATCAACACATATATGTAAATAAACTGCATATACCAGTGTATCCAAATACCAAATTAATTTTATAAATGGTGAACTGTTCCTTTAATGCTCCAAAATCTTCACATGTACTTATGCGATATGTCTCCTGTGCATCATATACCAAATACCATACGCTCTCTATACAGTGTTTTTTCTTGAATAACATTACATGGATCCCTTATCCTAAATAAGGGATCCATGTAATTTCATTCAAGAAAAAACACTGTATAGAGAGTCCTTAATCATGTAGTGTCCCAGGTGGGCACTTACAAATGTGAGTGCATTTTAACAATATTTTAATAAAGTTTAATACGTTTTGGCTATACTTCACTATATGGAACATTTTTTTCATTTATCTGTGGAGCATTTTGGAGCTTAGACGTGCTGAAGGAGGTGGAGATCTTTGTTCCAGCATATCCTCCTGGGTTAAAGAGAAAGGTGCAGTTTGACCTGAGTATTCAGGTCAAACCAGAAGGTGAGCGCAATAGTGTGTCGGAGGTGGATAAGCACTAAGGGGTGACACAGGAGCACCGTATATGTATACGCAGTAGGGTGATTACACAAATTCACTTGGAGCACAGCGGTCTTAAAGGGACAGTTCACCAGCATTTTGATACCATAACATTGGGACACTTGTTGATGGTATTTGGTATATGATGCACTGGTATATGCAGTTTATTTACATATATGTGTTGATATTTATTTTGATGCAGCACATATTATTGTCACGAAGCACAATTGTATTCACATATGCACATTGGATTTATTAGGCACTTTATTTGAGTTTATAATACTGCGCTGCATTTTTTTAATTTAAGCTTTAGCAATACAACCTGGAAGCTGATTGGTTTCTATGAAGAGCTGCACCACATTTTGCACTCTCCAGTTCTAGTAAATAACCCTCATGGTGTCTACAGGTGGTGATGTCGCCTTTTCATTGCCTGTTTTATCTCCCAAAAACGTGCTCCATCTCTTTGCAATGCATACAATACACATGGTTTTGGGACATTTGTGGCGTGGCTTCATCCAATGGAAAGATGGTAAAAACACATTTTAGCCATGTGTTTTTAACATCCTCCAAATGCAAATGTAAAGGAGGCCTTACAGACTATTGGATCTACTGATTCTCAGTTTAGGGCATAAATATCTTCTGTTTTGTGAAAGCAATGCTATATTGAACTTTTTCTGCATAACACATTTGAAATGGTTCTAAAACCAGAAGGTTTTTATTTTTTACCCTAATGAATTCTATGCATTAAGATAAAAAAACCTTCGGCAAGCAGCTTCCCCCATCTTCCTAGCTTCCCCTTAAAGTTATCCAAGCCCAGTCTCGATCCAGCTCTGTGTGCAATCGCAAAGGCTCTTTCCACTCTCTCCCTCCTCATTGGCTTAGAGACAGCAATGGGAACCATTGACTCCTGTTAATCATAGCCAGTGAGGAGGGAGCATGCTCTGTGTGTGACTGGAAACACAGAGCCAGCTCGGGAGCGAGCAAGCACGGGTTCTTCCATAGCAAGTGGCATGATGGCACTCGATGGTTGGTAGGAGCCAGGAGAGCTGGAATGGGACCTGAGAAGAGGAGGATAAGGGCTGCTCTGTGGAAAACCATTGCACAGAGCAGGTAAGTATAACATATTTGTTATATATACTGAACAAAGATAGGTGCTAGCCCTGTTGGATAGCAAGTGATTGACACTAAATTATATTTCGCCATAAACATGTTATCAAAGGAAAAACATGCACATGTATCAGTTAAAGTCCAAAAATCATTATATATTTTCATATTTGTTATTTTTTACAAAAATTAAAAAGTGATCCTTTACAATCACTTTTAACAGTGTAGTAGCTAAGTGGTCAGTGCACCTGCCCTGCAGGACTTGTTTGCACAGGGTTGCTGCTGGTGTTCCTGTTTACTTTAAAATAAACAATTGGGGGTAGATATGTTTGTATAAGTGCAGTAAATAAATTAGATAAGTACATTTCACTTGCTCAATTCCTGTTGCGAATGAGGAATGTGTACATTATAAAGTGTTATAAAATGTTGCCACTGTATAGTCAAGGAAATCAATAAACAAACAGTGCTCTATACAAACGCCAAGTCCAGCCCCGATCATAATAAAATTATTCAGGTCTGTTCATCCCTCACATTGTCCAGATAGAAAATCCTTCTAATTCCTTTCTGCTGTATTCCAATCTATATTCACATTTATAAATGTGTTTTGCCATCACTCAGTGAGCAGTTTGGTCGGGCGGTGAGCTATTTCTGCACAATAAAATGTCCTTTGTCAAGGAAAGTCATTTGTCATCTGGCTGAATTAAAGGTTTCTAAATTCTAAGCAGGGAAAGATCATTAGAGAGCAGAGGGAACATCCTGTGTGCCCAGGGGTGTTAACAATATTCATGATTAACTGCAATGGATTGCAGTCTCCAGTCACTGTGCAATCTCAAGTTTTCATAACCGTGTTTACTACTAAACAACCTTTGAAGCAGGTTATATATTCATATTAATAGTTGGGAATTGGGCAGTGACATTATATTAAAACAGAAAACTGTATTAAAAGACACATCCAGCCAAACAGGCACATTCTCCAGCTACAAACACACACACAATATTGCCAAAAGTTTTGGTACACCCCTCCAAATCATTGTCTTCAAGTGTTCCAATCACCTCCATGGCCACAGTCTATAAAATCAAGCACCTAGGCATGCAGACTGCTTCTACAAACATTTGTGAAAGAATGGGTCGCTCTCAGGAGCTCAGTGATTCAAGCGTGGTACCGTGATAGGTTGCCACCTGTGCAATAAGTCCATCCATGAAATTTCCTTGCTACTAATTATTCCACAGTCAACTGTTAGTGGTATTATAACAAAGTGGAAACAACTGGGAACTACAGCAACTCAGCTAAGAAGTGGTAGGCCATGTAACATGACAGAGCGGGGTCAGCGCATGCTGAAGGGCACAGTGCACAGAAGTCGCCAACTGTTTGCAGAGGCGATAGCTAAAGACCTCCAAACTTCATGTGACCTTCAGACTAGCACAACAATAATGCGTAGAGAGCTTCATGCAATGAGTTTCCATGGCCAAGCAGCTGCATCCAAGCTATACATCATGAAGTGCAATGCAAAGCATCAGATGCAGTGGTGTAAAGCACG